CGCGCCCACCCCCCCCCCCCCCCCCCCGCACACCGCTGCGCTGCACTCAGGGAATAGCAGCCCTCTGTGCCTAATCAAGCAATGATTATTGAAGCACCTCTTTCCTTTACTATAGACAGGACAGAATTATTAAAAGCCAGACACCGCTGTCATTACAATTGCAACTTTATTATAATCTCGTGGTGAAGGAGTACAGGTCTGATCACAAGATGCGTGCTAACAGAGCGCTTCCCCTTTACTGGATGTTGCAGAAAAAATTCAGCCATTTCTTTCTTTACACTTTTACTTCCAACAACTGCTCTTGGTGCACAAAGATGCAGCGAGTGGCACTGCCGTGGCCTCAGATACGTCTGTCCTGCTTGGGAAGAAAACCTGGCATTTTTGTTTTGCTAGAAGACAGGCTTTGAAGTTTTCTTCATTGTGCCCACTCTGAAGGTCACAGCTAATTAGGCAGTTAAGTGCTGAATTAGCTTGCTGAATGCAACTTATATGAACAGAGTAGCAATGGGCTATACTGGACTGCAGCTGAAGAGGTGCAGCAGTTGCGGGGCAAGTGGGGGTTGGTGGCTCTTACCACGCTCATGCCTGTCTGCACGGCTTCTGCTCGGCTCCGACAAAAATTTACTTTCCGCCCAGTTCCTTTCTAACTGCGCACTTGTCACTATAACAAACATATCTAAATGTAAAGCTTGAAAATGTATAAAGTGATGTACAAACCTAACCCAGTGAGCTCTAACAGAATGAGCCAGAAGGCGTCACTTTCTGGCTCCCCATACGACCAGATCTGTTCCTTGACCGATTGGTAAATTTTGTTCTGGCTACTTAAGTATTAGCACGAATTACGAAGTCATAAAAAATCCTCAGTCAGCATGATTATTCAACACACAAAGAGGATGGTTCTTAGGATACCACTGGTGACCGTCAGCCGTATGCTGTGGGTTTTAGCAGCTCCTTTTCAAGTTTCTGGATCTCCAGGTACAGTTTCTGGACTTCCAGCAGAGTTTTCAGTTCTGTCAGAGGAACTCTACACGGGAAAGTTTCCCTATATCGAAGAATCTTCTCACATGCATCATGCTTTTTCTTTAAAAGAACCAAAACAAAGACAGAGGGCGTGAGACTCTGCTGCAGGGACTTATGTGCTGAGCATCCCCCTCCTACTGCAGCCCCTCAGTCAGGCCAGCCCTATTGTACTGAAACAAACACATTCATGAAGTTGGACCAGTGCTATTCTAGGCTATAAATGGGGCAAGATACAAAGCCTGGGCAGATGGTGGTACTTACACATGTGGGCGGTGGTATCCAAGTGCCCTTAGCTGAGCAGATACTTTCTGAACTTGCTGATCGACGGCCATCACGTCTGCAGTAGAACGACAGAGTTTCATTCACCTGGTACCATAATTTTAATGGGTAAACCATTAGGTCCTCCTGTCCCGAGGGTCGGGGACACTGAACTGAAAGGAAAACGCATGCCAAAAAATAATGTAATGGGAGGAGACTGAGGAGAAAACTCCCTGCAAATTCCACCTCTTGCTGGTGATTCACAGGAGCAGCACCCCTGGCCTCTACAAACCAGCTGCGGGGCATCTGCCCGGGCCTGGTACCCACCTGGCCGGCAGGTGGGCAGGGGAGGGTGCCAGGTGCTGTCGGCCAGGCACCGGCTCTCAGCATCGCCGTGCAGCATGAAGCCTTCGTCACAGGAGAACCGCACGGCCGCCCCGTAGGGAAAGGTGAACCTCTGCGGAGTCATCCTTCCCCTCTCGACCGTGGGCTTGGGGCACCGAACCACTGCGGGAAGAGAGGTGGGAGCGGTGGGTTTGGCTGCTGCCCTTCCCCAGGGACAACGGGGAACCAGGTCAGGCGGGGCAGAGCCGCTCTTCCTGATGCCCTCTGCATCAGTTTCATACTCAAACACAAGAATTGATCCTCAGCTGCCTGCAGCAGCCCCCAGTGAGACCCTGCCAGTCCCTGGTGTTACTGAACAGCTCGTGGTGCCGAGCCCTTCGCACAGGAGCCAGAGGAGCCGCACGGTCATTAAGCTGCTCTGGGTTTGGAGCTCTCGGCCCAGGGTGTGTAACAGGGCTGGGGCTTAGCCCCAGCATCGCACCCAGGTCCTGGCTTCAGTCTGATCCCATACAGGAGAAACGACTCACCCCTGCACTCCGGGGCAGGTCCGCTCCACGCCAGGTTCACCCCATCGTCGGAGGTGCAGTAGATGGTGGCGTCCCCAATGAGGGACAGACCCTCCGTACAGCTGTACGTCACCTCTGCGCCATAGGGGAACTGCTCCGTTCTCAAGCCAGAGTGCTGCCCGTTGGTGGTTTGTGGAGGGGGGTCACAGACTATGAAATAAAGGGAATTGATAAGAAAAGAAATGCACGATTATCATATTCAGGTGATAATCAAAATCACCTCTGGGAAATCAGCACAAGAGTTAACTTCATGTTTGTAGTGCGGCAAATTCACATGAAGTTGCTGCCTGGCTTCTTGCCTCTTACACCAGCTCAAGGCTCCCACTTCTCGCTCACCTCCCACGTGGGTCACATCTCCAGGGAGAAGACGCCTCAACACTTCCAGCCCATGAGCCGGTCATCATCGTCCCGTTCCCCAGAAGCAGATGCTGAAGGCAGGTTACCTACTGATTGCTGTTTCTGAATACCGATGCACAAGATTTCTTCTCAGCACCACATTACACATACCTTTATCACAAAATGGTAACGGGGGAGCCCAGCTCACATCAGCCTGACACTCGGTCGAGTCCTGGCCCCTGAGGACATAGCCCGAATCACACGCCAGCCTCAGTCGGGTCCCAACTCTGTAGTCATTTTTGCTTTTAAAAATCTCTCTTCCATGAGCAGTATCTGGCTTTGGGCAACGACGTTCTAGGAACAACGGAAAATAAAGGATGTCATGTATTTTCAGAAAGAACTCCAGTGAAGATGCTTTCTATGGAGAAGACAGTTAGCAAGAAGATCTGAACCCTGAAAAAAAAGGTGACTGTCACACAGATGCAGGTCTCAACGTTTCCTTTGTAACTCTAAAGGAGTTTCTGCTTCTACAGTCAGATTTTTCAGAGGCTGTTGGGAAAGGCACATGCTGAAGAGCTGGGTCCGTGCCTGACCGAGCCTCTCCTCGGGGCTCTCGGCACCACACACCGTTATTATCCCAGGGGCTGCAGGCCCTGCTTTCCCACTGAGCTGCACTCGTGAGGTTGCTGAGCACCTCACGGGCAGTGTTAGGGCCAGGACAAGGAATCGTCTATGCTCTAATGCTGGCTGCTCTGTGAGGTGGAGCAGGCTCTTTCCTCCTGGCAAGGTTTTCCTGAGCTTTTGGGCTCAGGCCACTTTCAGTAGCTTGCTGATATTGCTATGGTGCCCCATCGCTAGGTTATTAGTTTCAGCAGTGTCAGTTATTTATGTTGTTGCGTTTCCCCTTTCAGAAGAAAATGCATTGAGAACATCCTCTGCTCCCAAGCCTCGTATCAGCAAACCAGCCCAGCTGTTGTCCAAAGCACAAACCACATCCCCTTCCAGCTGGGTAAGTGTCTTCCAGGCTTCTTAGGAACCTCCTAAGCCTACCAACACCCAGCCCTTCACATCCCACCTCCCCAGACACTAGCTCAGCCCCCTGCCAAACGCCCGTACTTTTTCCACAGCAATCCCCAGGCAATATACTGATCCATCTGGATCTTTTGCTGCCTATTTCTTCCAAGTTAACACAGGAGGACTAGATCTGGGGATACATGGCAGTGGGGCAAAATTCTCCTTGGCTACTACTACCATCATCTAAGGCCACATGTAGATTTTTCAGCGAATGTCAGCAGACAACTGCACTGTACAGAGTGACCCAAACCTTTGCAGTCAAAAGTAGTCGCCAAGTCAACAAGCTTCACCAACCCTCACCTACCTGGAGTACACTCCGGTACCGCTGGATCCCATCTACCATCACTTAAACACTGAAGCACAATGTTATTGCTATGACCTTTGAAAGCATAGCCATCATCACACGTAACTTCCAGTCTGTCTCCGTACACATAATGGTCTTTAGCTTCCCACACATTTAAGGGCTTTCCATGGCTGACATCTGGATTTGGGCAACGAATTCCTGAGAAATGCCAAACATTAGCAAGTGTGAAACCACGGCAAAGCCATCTGGATGACAGCAGATTTGTTGTAAACAGAAGGATGAATGCTTTGTAAAGCAAAGACACAACACAACGCTAAATCTGCCCCAGCACCATCCCCGGGTGCTCCTGGGGGACGGGGTGTTTGCAAGGGACTCTGCAACCGCAACCTCCCCTTGGATGGAGCAAGGTGCCCTCGACACTGCAATGACTTTTTCCACAGGTTCAAGGGACTAGAAAGCATAGCTGGTAAATAAAGCAGCGAAAACCCTGTGGCTGGGGACCAAATCAAGGGAGTTCAAGAGTCACAGCAAAGACCAGAGACACGCCAGGCTGGGCACCTGGAGCATCCCCCCTCTCTCCCTCACCCTGCGATCTGCACAACAGCAGACCACGCACAGCTTCTTCATTCGGTAATAATTTTGCCAGATCACGAGGGTAAGTAAGCCAAAAGGAACGTACACTTACTTTCACAAGGAGGTGGGGTTTCGGTCCACGTAAAATCTGGCAGACACTTAATGTGCCGCGTGGTTTCTTCCGGGCTGAACTGGTGGCCCTCCCTGCACTCGTAGGTCACGACAGTCTCCACAGGAAACAAATTGCCAGCAAGTTTTGCTTTAACAGCATTATGTACATCTGGAGGGTTGTCACAGCTACCTAGGAAAGAAATTCCAGTTTAAGGACATTGCCAGTGATAAATCAGTGAGGCCCATAATGGTACGTAACATAACAGAGAGAACTTGGGGAAAAATCGTGGGCTCACATTGTTCTTTCTGAGATGCACTTAATCGTCCGAGTTCAGTAATGCTAAAGAGTGAATGCAAAGGAGACAAATGAAAACACATGAATAATTTCAGCCTGCATGGTAATTTTCACTGTTATAACAAGATGTAATTTTTAATAAAGTTTATACTATCTGAGGCTCTACCAACAAACTTTAAAAATATTAAGTATACTAGGGTTAATTTAGTCCCTTTGAATTCTACTGAGAAATGCTCACCAGCTTGAATGGGACAAGGCTTTAGTCTCTATGGCCCAAAGTCATAAATTCCTAAAGTCACCTTAGCGCTACAGAGATTAGCCAAAAAAAAAAAAAAAAAAATCCAAAAAGTTAAGTCTTGGAGCCATCACTTTCAGGACCTAACGCTCTCTTAGGTGGGTGGGAACTTCACTGAAGCAAAGCTGCTGGGCCAGGTGGAGCAGCCCTCGGTCCACCACACTTACTGAGCTGACAGAGCGGCAGCGGAGGGTCCCAAAGGCCGTTCTCTTTGCACGTGGACGCATCGCTGCCGTTCATGGTGTAGCGGAAGTTGCAGTCGAACATGACGGTGTCTCTGTAGGTGTACGCAGCCCGGTACCCGCTCAGCAGCTTCCCGTTCTTCACGCTCGGATTCTCACAGTTAATCACTGCGTCAGGGAAACGCCACCACTTAGGAAATCGGCAGTTATGCTCAAGAGGGGAGATGAGGGTATTAAAAACATTCTCGTAGCATAAGATGTGTTCACCAAAAAGGCTGAAAATGGACATGACAAGGTAGCAGGCTGATGGGATATTTTTGAACTCCGTATTACAGCATTTTTTAATTTCATACTTTTTATTAAGGCAAAGCGTAAAAAGAACATAGGAAAGGCAGCAGGTATCGCAGCAGCTTTCCGAATTCTTTGCAGGCATTATATTTTACACAGGCCGGCAGGCAAGATGCATCATCTGGTTTGCAAACGCTAATGAAAATCCCACTCCCATGTCCCCTGCTGACTTGGTGACCGTAAGCAGTCACGGTCCCTGTGATGGGAGATCTGTTACTGCTACCAGACTCGGAGCGTCTCACCTGCAAGAGGTGATTCCAGCAACATAAAGGAGAGAGACGGCTCCAAGGAAGAAAACAGCTTTAGCAGACCAGGCAGGAGGCAGCGGAGAAGGGGCTACGGCTGGTGCTGCTGCAGTGCCCCGGTGAGCTTGCAAGCGTGCGCCTCACCTCCCGCATGGGAGCAGCTCACCTTTGCACTCCGGGGCTGGCTTGCTCCAGACACCATTTATGTTATCTGTGGTTGTACAGAAAATAGAGGCATCTCCCACCAGCGAGAAAGGTCTCTCTCCCCTTTGGACGGGGTGGCACCAGTAAGTGACAGATACTCCATATTCAAAGAGCTCTTTGTCAGCTCCGCTGTGCTCTCCATTAGCTATTTTTGGAGGGGGGGAACACGGTATTGCTGGGGAGGGAGGGGGGAGAAATGGTAGAGGGAGGGAAGAACAAGAAAGAAAGAACGAACTTAATTTGTTTTGAACCAAAGGTCTGGTAAGGAAAACAAAATAAAATTGAAACACGAGGTGCCAGAAGGGTCAGAAATTAAGGGCAGGTCTCAAGGGAGTTGCCCACCAGCCCACAGGCAGCAGAGCTCCGACCCGGGCGACGAGTGGTTTGGGGATATACCACAGTCTTACATGCAGCTGCCTTACTCCCAGACAGTGAATAATTTTTTTTGTGCAGGATGATGCAGGAAGAAAAACACAAAGACAAAATGTCTTTCCAGACTCCACCATGCATCGAACTGCTGAAGTCCTCAGCAGGGCAACGCGACTGCTTCTTTATCCATCCCCAGTAACATTTAAGCAGTAGATCAATTAAGAAACCCTACTTACGCTCACAGATGGGAATATCTCTGTCCCATGTAACAACACCATTTTTAATCACACATTGAATTTGAGAATTTCCAACCAGTCTGTACCTGTGTGAAATAGGGGAGAGGGGATTACTTGACATACTCAATTTTGATGTATTACCTATAACGTCCATCAGGATGGTTTCGGCTTATCATAATTACAGCTGATCAGAAATTTGCCGTCAATGTCATTTTTCAATGACACGCTGGCTTTTGACAAAAGCATTTTTAAAATAAAAAAAAATTTACATGGTTTCTAAGGAAAAAACGTCTACTTTATCAGCCAGCTGTAGCTACCACTACAGCTCCGAGTTCAGTATTGATGTCTTTTCTTCAAAAAGATACTGAAACATCGGAAATGGTTTAAGAAGGGGCCAGGAGAGTGAACATGAGTTTGGGAAAAACTGCCTCAAAGTACAAGATTAAGAAAACTCAGTCAGTCTTAAAGCTCTCAAAGGAAAGCTTCAAAAGATATTTCAATCACAGTCTGCAATTACCTACACTAGTAAGGCTTCTGACAGCACAGGCTTTAATCTAGAGGGAAAAGACTTCAGAAAAATCGCTGGGGAAGAAGAGGACCCGTGCCCTGAGTCCTCCTGGCTTACCCAGTGTTGCAGATGAAGTTCACGGATGAACCAAAACTGAAGTTTTCTGCTAGCATGAGTCTGCCGTTGTCCGGCTCGCCAGGGTAGATGCAGTGCTTTGCTGGGGAACAACAGGACTGGAGTTAGTTCTTATTTCAGTTTCTTGAAGAATTGGGGAAAATGCAGCAGGAAAGCAGAAGACTCCTCCAATACTGAGTAAGGGGATGGACCAGAGACCTCCAGATTTCCCCTCCAACCCTAAATTATTCCATGATTCACGACGCTGTTAAGACTTGCATCATGACCTGCAGCCAGCCTCTGCAGTCTAAGTGGGGTTTTGCAGTAACTCTGGCAAGCGCGACAGCGTTTCTCCACAGCTAAAGGATTCTCCTACTGCAAGTTTGAAATACTTTTTTTGAACCAAGAGTTACAAAGTGCCTGAGCAGAAGAACATCCTTTGAATCAGCAATCAAACACAGCCAGCATGAAAGCAGATTTCAGCTGTTGCCATCATTACCAGTACTTAGCAGAATACAACTGGTGCTTCATGTCAGGTCACTCATCTCCCACCATCCCGTGAGGTCACTTCGGATACTGCTCCAACAAAACGAGCAGATAGCATCAGTGAATAAAAAACAAAATCAAAAGTCAATCCAAAATATACTCACGTATACAGATCTCCCATGATCCCTGCCACTTATTGTCCTCTCCACAAAGCAACCTGTTCTGGACGTGAACATTTCTCGTGTAACCTGGACGACAGACGTATTCCACCATTGTCTTATAGGAGAATCTGGTAAGGTGACGGTATTGCTCTTTGAGTTCTGCAGATGCGAGATGGGGCGGAACATTGCAGGCACCTACCGACAGAAACTCCATCAGAAAGATGCTGGGAGGAAAAGCAGTGGGAGTTCAGGCCTGGATTTACTCTGAAGGTCCAGGCGAGGACACTTTGGTGGCCTTAAAGCTAGAAGCAAAGAGGAGAAGCGCAGTCTGTGACTGGGGATGGCTGAGGCTGGCAGGGACAGGGGAGGAGCATCACCCCACAAGATCCTGGTCACTTCTCACACCTCATCCAGCGGTTTCAAAGGCTGGTCACAAAGTCCAGATTAACCGTTTCCTCTCCCCAGTTAGTATAAATCACCGCACCTTTTTCAGCTGGAGTAATTCTATGGCCGTTTTACACAGCAAGGAAGAAAAAGGCAAAGGAAGATGGATTCTGATCACAAAGATTTACAATATTCTTGAAATGCAAAGGCAACGAGGAAAAGAGAAGGATCCAAGTCTTGTGAACCCCAGCAGAAGGTTTTCCTTTGAGGGATCTTAGTTTACCCCGATAGACTCACTCTCCTCATATTCACTTACTCTGGACAGCCACAACAAGAGCAGCGGCGAGGAATAACCCAAGGACAGCAGTGCGATCCCTCTGCCTCCCCAGCTCCAAAGCTGGCATCTTTCTTTATTCCAGCCTCCCTGTCTGGAGATCCCACAGAAGTTATCACGTTCTTTTTCTAGGCCAAGTATCTGTAAAAATAGCAGGGGGCATTTACACTCAGGATAAACATAGCTCATGCGGACAGGTCTCATTTCTCCATCCCTAAACAGTTCCTACAGTCGTGGCTGGGGACCAGAAGCTGCAGGAGCTATTGCAATACTCTGCAACAGAGCAGAGCAGCTCCGCTCCAGCCGACGGGACCAAGACTCAGCGTGGAGGAGCTGGGCTGCTGGGACAGAGCTGGATTTGGCTGAGGAGGGCTGGCTCCAGCAGACCAGACCCAGAGACATGAAAATACAACATAAACAGGACAGCCGATTGTAGATGTTAAGCAATTCCCATAGATTTTATTCCACTAGTCTCATTTATTTACATTTTTGAGAATGCAGCTTTCGATTAAAATTTAAAAATAAAATAAAAAAAAAAGGAAAAAAGAAAGACTAACAGCTCCACTCAAACCATAACATAAATACTTTGTAGCTTGTCAGGTTTGACTTAAAAACACTACATTGCCAACAGTGTTCTTCCCAGCCAACCAGCCAAATTAATACCTGCAGGGCCATGAGTTTATCTATGCCTTATGGAAAAAGTCCCCTGAAACTTATCTTACAGGTAAAATGTTTTGTTTTAGTAATAAGTCTCTTGGAAGCAAATTCATAGTCAGATGAAATCATGCCAGAGTCAATACAGTCCCCTAACAATAAATTATATGCAGAGAGAGAGAGAGAAGTATCTAACCAGAAAGATACAATGGTTTTGTGCAAATAACATCAACTGAGTAAAGCTATAAAGCATACAAGTCATTCAGGAGACGGAATTGCTTTACAAAATGGAATTTAAGTGCAATTTGGACTAACCTAGCACCCCTAGAGATCAGCAAGAGTCCTCTCCGACTTTGTTATCCAGGATCATCATTTATGAGCCTAAACCCTCCCAATGTTACGTACGCTCCAAGTGCCTACCTTCCTCCTGGAAACGAGAGTCTGTCTTGATGCTTTCTGCCCTAAACTTAACACTTCTTGTGGCCGTTTCATTCCTCTAGCTTTCCTTCAATCCTTCTTACAGCTCTTGGTTTAATTTGATTTAATTTACTAATCTTTGCACCTGCTAGAGTTGCAAGAAAGCCCCAATCCAGCTCCCAAGAGCAACATCGCCTAAAGCTGTATTGCTTGAAATTGTCTTACCTGGAGGTCTTGCAGCAGGAGATGGAGAGACCCGGCATGTTCGGCTCTCGCAAGGCAAAGCGATGACTGTCCTCGTCCAGTCTCCCCGGCTCCAGGGACCACCGCACTAAAGGAGGAGTTACGATACGCCTACACACTCAGATATGGCTCCATGCAGAAAAGTTTGAATTCTGCAGGGTTGTGCCAGTTGGCCCATAAATCATTAACTCCTCCTCTGAGCAAGAAGGAAGTAGTTTATTCAACCCACAAAGCGAAACACTAGAAAACTGAAATGCAACCCAAGCAGATGTTGAAATTGTTTGTTTTACTGTGTGGAACTGCCAACACTTCGCTGAAATGATCCTTTCTGAGCAGGACGCTGCCCGTTCCACCGTGCAGCAACGGCACCTGGCCAGTGCCGGTCCCCACGCGATGCCCAGGGACCTCAGGCACGCTATGGTGGCCTCCTCAAGAGGACCGTTTCACCCCAGGGCCTGTCAACCACAAGCTCATCTCTTCTAGACCTCAAAAGCCTATGGCCAGCATTCAAAATACGGTTTCTGCAACCAGCTCCACCTAATCCCATTAGAGCAACACCAGCTGGAGCTCAGCAGCACAAGAGGTCCCAGGGAGCATCGCTCAGAGCTGAACACTCAAGGTCCATGACGGAAACGCAGCTGCCTTTCATCTCATTGAAAGCTGTTCCCAAATCCGGCTGCCACTCGTAGGTCATCTTCCAGTAACAAGAGTTTCGGCAGCAGTTGTAACCATTCGCTCCTTTTGCACTTTGGCTGCACAGTTCCATCCAGCCTTGAATTGCCATCAAGAACCTGGCAATGGCCTTTTTACCCTGGGTTGTGCTTCTCACAGGTATTGCTTTGTTCTGCCAAATCTGAGGGTTTTTTGCCAGAAATATTTACCACGTCCCTACATTGAGTGGGATGTATTACCTTTCTGAAATGCACCTGAGTCCATGCCAAAACGTAGTAAAACAGATTTAGTTCTTGCTCTGTAAAACACGGCAAAAGGCTGCCTGCCCTCGCCCCACGAGCAGGGGCTTGGCTCACAACAGGCCCCTCGTCACTCCTGAGCAGGCACTGACCTCCACTTCATATTTACAAGAATCCAGTTAATCACAGACACAAACATAGGCTTTCTAGATTTATTTTTTTCCAGATGACTCAGAATAAGCCGATTTGTGTGCCGAAAAATCAGCAGTTTCCCCACAGGCAGCCAGGAGGTTATTTAGCATCTGTGCAGGGTGCTCATGGCCACGAGCATCAGCCAGGGCACAGCCACACCAAAAGCTGTCTCCTGCTCTGACGGCTGCTAAACACCCCTAAGACCTCCTCAACCTGCAGTTTGCAGCAGGATAAACAGGATAAAAGGGATTTTCCTTGACCACATCCAAGGTCGCTTCTGTTCAGGCTGTGGCTGGCGAGTCCCTTTGGGACCAGCTGGTTTCCAGCTGCAGATGCTGGAAATCACAAGTTAAGAGACACACCAGTTGCTTCTCTTGACTTCCACCCCTGCCCCCAGAAAAAGATATGTGCTTTAAAATAAGTGTTCCTACCCTAACAGCTCCACAGGAAACCTGAAAATCCAAATTCCAATAGCTCCAATAAAAACACCCTTAAAATCAGTGAGGGAAGGGAATGGCAGCAGTAGCTCTGGGGTGCAGCATTCACCATTTCCAGCCCAACTCCCAAAAGCCGGGGACACCTGCCCTCCCCTGCAGACCCTCTTCCTCCAAACGCTTTCCACAGACTCCCCTGAATTCACCATTATCTCACAAAACCAGCACACAACAGATGGTTATAGCAAACAACAACGGAAAGTAACAGAGGAAACTAGATCTATTTTTTTTTTTTAAAATCTCTTTATTGTAAATAAATGCTCACGGGATATTTATGCTCAAGTGCACAGAGTACACAACATACAGCACAAGTTTACATATGTTGCTTTTTTTTTTAAACCTAAAAAAACATTAGAAAGCAGTAACATAGCAAAATTGCAAGTAGACATGTAACATCCATCTCAGTACACTAAATGGAGAGATGCAGTTTGCAAACAGCATTCAGAGAGACAGAGGAGCAGCGGGAGAGGTGGAGGTGGCACCAGCAGCGCTCGCCCAGCACCCTTCAAAGGAGCACGGGTGGGAGTTTGGGACATAACGCCGGGGCAGGCGGTTTCTGGAAGCGCCGGCGGCGATGCCTCTCCTCCCAAGGCTGCTCCTCAGCCCTGTGGCAGCTGGGCTGGGCTTCCCCTTCTCCCCCCGCCAAGCTGCCGGGAAGGGGACGCCTTAGGGAGCTGGCAGCTCTAACGTCACAGCCAGCGTACACAAACTCAAGCTACCCGACCTGGTTTTAAGCCCTTTCCCTCATTTTCCAATTTTCCCCATCGCTGGCAGCAGAGACAGAACAGATTTTGCCTGAGCGATCATTTTTCTCTAAAACAACCCGTAACGCTGATGGGCCAGCCAGCCCCCGGACCGCGGCTCAGGGACAGCGATATGCAGGTCCCATGGGTGGCCCTGCCACTGCTCCCTGAAGGTGACAGCAGACACCGCCACCTCTGTGCTAGAAACAGATGGACGGAAAGTCAGGGAAATACAGAGAAACCCCCACTTCGTGGTGCAATGCTCACGAAGGCACCAAGCCCACTTCCACGCCTCCAAATTCACCACCTCACCCAGCCCAAGACACCAGCTCCGGTATGACTGACAGCACAAGCCTCTGCTAATCCTCAGTTCAGGTACGTTGTGCAATCATTGTTTATTCTGGGGTATTTGCACGCACGGTGCCAAAGAAATCAGGTGATTTCAAGGAAATACCTGGCACAGGGACCTGTCAGCCCATCTGGGGCTTGTTGACATCACCCCAGCCCGGCCACCCGCAAGAGCTTGGGGCTCGGCAGGACCCCAGGACCTGTCATGACAGGTACGATTCACCCACACAGCAACGATGACGATCGCAAATCTGCTGCTGCTCTGCTCTAGACACGTGTATTTACACCTTTCGAAAGTTAAAATGCAGGAGGAAAAGGCTACAGTTAGGCTTTAATTAAAGCACTGAGGCACAAATGCTGCCATCTGCAGAGACGGCCGAGAGGCTCCATCCCACGACCCAGCAGACCACGGCCAAAGCAAAGACCCACTCGACAGGAATAAGGGACCCACAGTCAGTGATCCAAAACTGCAGACCCAATTTTTAGCAGTGATCAAAAATTATGACCACCAACGTATTAGCAGCTACATTCATGAATCCTGGCAGGTAAAAATATATATCTTGTCTCCTTACAACCATTAACTACCCAATGATACAAATATAATTAACTCCTTAGCAAGTAATTACAGCGTAGTGTGTGTAAACATCCTACAGTACATTTCTACTCCTTTTTCCCTGCAGAGCAGGAGGTTTCTCGGCAGGAGCAGCCAGCCCGATGCAGTGCAGGTTTGTGCGTTTAGAGCATTACTGGAGAGTGACAACAAGGATTACCACACAACAGGCTATAAATCTCTTCCTTCAACATTCCACCCCCCCCCCCCCCCCCCTTTCCTGGCTTATTTCTAAGCACTGTAACATTTAAAACCAAGGAACAGACGGCGCGGCTCTCGCAGAAGGCTGCAGCAAACCTGCGCCCCAGTGGGAACAGCCCAAGGAACAAAACTAATAAAACTCAGTTTCTCACCCACTGAACTTCCTCCCTCCATGGCGCAGCTTTAGATCAACACAAGCTTCTGCTCCACATAAATCCGAAAGGGTTAGAATTAGAGCCTTGGCCTTTGCCACGGACGTCTCCATCTCGGCTTTCTCAAATTAAAGCTCTGGGAATGTTTAAAACAACTGGGTTTGAGCTCAAAATCCCCACGTAAACCTCAGGCTTCCAGGCTGCTGAGCTCCTCCGCAGCCAGGGCACCGACGTTTCCCAAGCACAGGTCCCTACTGTAGGTATGGCCAACATTTATTCACACATTTAAAATAAGCAACCTGGGTCCCAGAAGTTGCTCCTATAAATCCTGGAGTCACTGGAAACAGCAGGTCCAGAACAGCCTCCTGCTTCGTACCTAAATGCTCCTTTCTTCACCCAACCTGAGGATTTTGCCCTTCTTGCAAGAACAGCAGGAGTGGGGTAAAATGGGAGTTTGGCAAAACACAAGTCAAGACTTGTGGGAGAAAACTAAAGTTTGGGGTTTCGGTGGGGATTTAAGTAACACGCAGCCACCACACGAGCTGCGCCACAGGGGAGTTTCACCGTCTGTGCACTAAATACTAAAGCAGCTTAAATTCTATTAAGACAGCATTATACATTAGTAATGTTCACAGCTTATTTATAGGCAAATTTAAAGACTTCTTGTGAGCCTAACATCTGGTACATTAAAAAGACAACTGGTAAAAATCATGTGCTTCTTGCAAATCCTGCACACGCGGCCCCGCTGCTCCCAGACACCGAGCAAAGCGGTGCTCTGATTTTTTCTGTTGTAATAGAGAAAAGCGTCCATAAAACCCGCGGAAAAAAAAAAAATCAGTGAGAGGATGAGGCTCAGATCAGGGTGCAAAGCTAAAGCAGGACTTGAGCTCAGATCCGACAGCACTGGTAGCTACGCTGTTCCCAGCGTAGGAGCTTTTATTCCCTTCTGCCCCTCACAGGAGACGTCCCGCAGGATTTGCTGACTTGGAGTGCCTTGTGTTATACCATGTGCAAAAGCCTTCCCAGAGCAAAGGAACAGGCTCAGGCTGGGGGATTCAAATCAGCAGTCATGAAAGCAAAGTCAAATGATAGCTGGAGCTCTGTCGATAGTTAAGTAACACAGTAACTGCATTTGAATTTGGAAATGGTAACAGTTAAACAAAAACTTGGGGATTTGGTCTGATAACACGTCTTCCAAAGAAAAGCTGCTTCAGCGAGTCTGGACATGACCATTTTGTCCTCGCACACGCTGCGGTTAATTTTGCCATCTAACCAGGAGGAAAGACAAGGGGCACTATTTTAACGCCTCAGAAAGCCCAGGGATAAGTTAGCTCACACATATTAAAAGCAGGTTGAAAAATCTCCATAATAAATTTTCTCCAATCTCATTGACAGACATTTCAGCATCCAGAAAGAAAAGACACAGACAGACTCTAAAAACACATTTCAGAGGAGAGTACTGGCCAAAGCGGCATGCGGCTCACTGTGCTCCGGGGGTGCTCGAGTCCCATCCGCAGGGCTCCTCCCGGCCACGGAAATCCCAGCCGAATTCGAGATGAGAGCACAAACCTCTACACTGTTAAACCAGCCATCCTCTACAAAAAAAAAAAAAAGGCGTAGGTTATAACAAGGGTAAGTCAGGAGATGGTAAAGCAGGGGACAGCAGAGCTCAGCTCAGTGCCGGGGGGCGGACAGACAGACACTTTGCAGCAGCCAGCGGCAGGAGGATCCAACCAGCTCCACACAGTTGGTCTATGTGACAGTGACCATCTGAGGATTTACTTATTTACTCCTCCCTGAGCAAATAACAAGCTGCTTCACATTTTGCGTCGTCCTTTAACCTCCTGCAAAGCTCCGCATGGAGGGTTTCCCAGTCTCAGCCTGAGACCATGCAAGCTCAGCTTTACTGGAGCATCTCCTAGGACAGCAGGCAATAACAAAGCAGGCTGGTTACTCAGGGTTACTCATTTTATTTATCTTCTCCATAGGAAAATACACTTCCAGGACAAACGTAAGAAACATTAATCATTTTGCATATTAACCACAATAAATACTTATGGTTTTGATAAAACTCCTTCCATTGCCTCACCGAGGGTCCGACAGACGACAGGAACACACTCAGGTCAGTACAAGCGAATTATACATTTACAAAAGCACAATCACACAAGTTAGAATCGGACAGCCAGGATTTCCTACAGCTGCTGTTCATGCAGTGTTTCAGAGCACAGAAAATGCTCGGAAGGGCTCCGAGTACGTGCAGCGTTTAGTGCCCGCTCCGCTCAGCTGCAGCACTTTTGGAGAACGCAAACTGATGTGTAAATCAATATGTGCAATTTGTCTTGTTACCTAACCAGCACTGTTTTGCAATAAAGAAAAAAGGCACAGCTATCGAGCCAATTTGCTGACAATTAACAGTAGGCATCAACACTTAAAATCCAACAGTCAGGAAATCCAAACCCTACATATTTTCCATTTGTAATTAAAAAAAAAAGTATCTAAACAGCTTTCCCAACAACGACACTTAAAAAGTAACCATCATCAGACAGAGGTAATCCATAATAGCTGCTCACATGCTACTTTGTCAAGCAAAACACCAGCACTAAGAAGGAAGGTTTGTACTGGAATCAAGGAAGTTGGACCGAGTTACCTTCATTTATCTGCAAACCCTCCTAGGAAATCTATGTTACTCGTTTAAACATAGCAGAAAAAGAAACACTTGAAGCACAGCGTTAGAAAAGTAATTTTGCAAAGCTGGCATATACATTCATTTTCTAAACACACAGCTCCTTTCGGCTCAGAGTAAAGGCAAATCCAAAGGGGCAAGGCTTTGATTTTTAGCCTGTGGATAATTTTCCTCTGATTTGATTCTAAATTAATATTACTCAGTATAGGAACAATGATTTACCAGATTTATCACAAGCTCCCCCAGCTCAGGTTCTTTCTCCTTTTCCCCTCATCTTCAACATTAAGGCCTCTGAAACCCAGGGAGACAGGCAACTTTAGGAGAAAAGCGCCCTTTTTGCATTGCTACTGGTTGGCCCATTCCCAAGTCGGCCATCCCGACGCGGGAGATGCACTACGGCAACATTCGAGCTCGATGCTTTGTGCGCTTCCGCAGCTTTGGCAGGACAGTCACCCTGCTTTGCCAGTAAGAAAACTCCGCAGCATTATTAAAAATGCTATCACAAACTAGGGAACAGGAGACAGGGACATGTAACTTCAGGATCAATCCCGTACCTTTGTATCCTATGAAATGTGTGTAAATACCAGCGACGTAGAAAGACAGAGCAGTTTCATTGAGAAGATTGTTGGAAGAGCTTCATTTCAAGTACAAAGCGCAATTAAAGTAAAAAGCTGCACATCCAGATTGCTAAATACATTCAAGCAGGAGTTTCTCAGGCCTGGAGGAACGCTACCTGGGCAGAGGCAGGAGCTGCGCCTTCCTCACCTGGAAAAGATGAGCCGCATCCTATGGCGGCGAGAGCTGCACCCCATCACCGCGGGGACCTCCCTGCCGCAGCGAAACGGGAGCCAGCTCCCCACCCAAACCTGAATCCTCTCTTAACACTTGACGTCTGGAAACCGAACCAGCTACCGCTGTACTTTTTGTACTAAACCCAGCTCTCCCTTTGATGCCAGAGCACCAGGAGCGAGAGGATTTGCCCAAAGCCCCAGGGCAGAGGCAAGGAGGGAGCAGAGCTTTGCTGAAAGCAAGAGCAGGCAGCCCACACGCAGCTACCTGAAGCCTCTGAGGACACAGCTTGTGCCACCTCTGAGCCCACCCTGAGGCACTGCCACCCTTGGGTGCTCCCCAGCACAGCCTGCTGCTCCCGCAGGGGGAGACCATCGCGCTCCCAAAGGTGGGTGGAAGCAGCCGGGTGCTGGGGGTCACCCCGGTGCACGGGGACGAGCATGGCACCACACGGAGGATGCAGCATGGGCGCTACAGGAACCACAGGCCGCCGAGAGCCGTCCCACAGCCCCATGCAGTGACCTGCTGTGCAATACAGCTGGGCCCCCAGACAGAGCACCTAAATTGCAAAAAACTTTTACAAGACAAAAAACATCAGTTGCATGTACTGCATGAGGCGAAACACCCGATAAGCCAAGCGAGGGGTTGCAGCGGGGTCTGTCACAGCCACCAGCAGAGCAGGGGCGTGGGGACGAGCCTCGGGGCCAACGGGAGCGCGGCGAAGCGAGGGCATCTCTGGCCTTTCTGCGTGGGGCGGCAGCCAAGGTCTCATCCGAGCCCCTTAGTCGGAGGCCGAGAGGGAAGCCAAGGTCTCGCGGGTGATGCTAGCTGCTGGCTCCCTGGAGAGGGGGGACAGACAAGGACATGTTCTCCCCTTAGGGTGGGAGAAAGAGTCCTGCTCTCTTCATCCCCGTTCAAAGATGCCTCCGAGGGGATGTGATGGTGAGGACTCGGTGACAACTGCCAGCAACACAGAAAGGTTTATCCACCCAGCTGCTTTCCAAGCACGCGCTAAACCCACCCAGCTCCCTCGAGTCACGGGGAGCTGGGACTGAACAGATCCACTCCCATCCAGGCTGCGATCCAACGACTCCTGCAAAATCCCTGCGGTAAGTATCATCACCACACCCCATCCCTGGTGGAGAGGAGACATAAGTGGGACCCACTCAGTACAAGCTATGTGACTCAGCCCAGCAGCGCCAGCACAGAGCACTCCCACGTCCTGGTGCAGGGACGGAGCAAGCTTGGAGTGAAACGCACTTTTGCAGGCAGCCAGCACAAGCACGATGAACCAGTAAGTCCCGCTGGAGCCCCTGGATCAGTGGGCTCAGCCTGGTAACATATTCCTCCCCCACTGAGGTCCCCCTTAATGACAGGTTATTATACAGCAAAAGACTTCCTTCTGCTCCATGCCTTTGTCCTTCCCCAAAGTAGTTTCCATGCAACATTAATCAAGAGAAGTCCAACTTACTAAACCAAAAGAGAGTACATACAAGCTGCTTTCAGTGGTACTCACAGGCAAGCATTTCCCCCTTGAGGCTGCAAAGGAAAAAGAAACAGCACAGGAAAGCTCATAGTGCATTTTAAAGGAGATTTAAAAATAATAGTAAAAGCAGCAAAGGAAACGAGGAAAGAAGTGAAGCAACCCCAAAGATTTCATGTTAGGGAGCTCAGGGCAGGCTTGTATCACAGCAGGAGCTGGTACAAGGCATGGACATCGCGTGCTGCGGTGCCCGGCCACCTCCTCCACTGCTGCTCGTCTCAAGGGCTCCATTCAGGCGAGAGGACTCAGGACAGCACAATTCCCCACCGCCTGCACGGCCCCAGAACCCAGGGTTTCTAAATGCTCTTTCATCCCAGAGCTATCAGTGCTTTGACATTACGATGATGAACTGCAAACAGGGAGCGGTTGGGGTAGGGATCCCCATCCTGGGGCTGCCCAGTTGGAGACACCCACAAATTAAGACCTCGGGCAGTCAGGGTCCTCTCCAGCTGAGACTCTTCATCCAGAACCGCTGTGGGCCAAACTCACCCCAATGCAAAGCCCCGTCTGGTTCAGCTCCCACCGGAGCCCCAGGATTTTGGAGATGTCTAAGCCTCATGCTCTTCACCGAGTATGAAAACACCAGCGACATTCACCTGCACTGCATCGCCCCTTTTACTCTCTGGCCACTTACTCTGCTAACAGGGAGGAGAACAAGAAGCTGGGCTCACTGAATAGCTTGGAAAACATTAACCTCTAAAGTACCCAAGATTATTTTATTTTTAAACAGCTTTGGTAATGATGGCTGTCTCTGCACAAGGAGCCCAGCCAAGACCTCCTTGAAGCCCATGACACACCTCCTCTCCACCTCATCTAACAGGCAGCAGCGTGCAGCTCGCTCTGCCTACAGTCTCCCAGGCACAGACAAACTCCTAATTTAGCAGAGAAACAATTTTAAATGAGCAAAGAAACAAACAGGGCTTCGCATCCAACACTGATGAGGACCTACGTGCTTCTAAGCTGAAAGAAACGCCAAGCACCAAAACCCAAGCTGCTTTAATCTGGGCACCCAAAGAGCCCAAACTTTGTTCAACAAGCTGCTGACGTCGGGATCTGCAGGGAAACGGGCACTGACAAAATCAGACACAAACATTTCCTACCCAGTCACTCTGGGGCTAGAGAAACACTTGGCTGCAGTATCAAATTAGGACAAAGAGGGTATTTGTAACTCTTTCCAATCAGGTTTTTGCTGGAAAGCAAGATACTACCCAGAATTAACCACCCTACCAAAACCCTATTGCACTGATGGAAACTCGCCTGCATGGAGCCTGATTTTTGAAAGCCCCTGGCACCACAATTCCAGTTTAATGGGGCAAATTTTGGGTTTTGGGGAGGTTTTTTGTGTTTTGTTTTGTTTCTTCTTTAAGGGAGTCTAATCCAGAATGATTTTCATGTGGGAACAGAGATAGTGATTAAGACCCTGGGAAGGGTCTGTATTTCAGAGAGGACCAACAACAACCGCGGGTGATGGTGGAGAGGGGGAGCGTAGGGAAGGTACCACCTGGACACCGACTTGCAGCAGCGGCTGGTCGGCCCCATCTCGAGCTTCCAGGGATGGGAAAGGCCCCAGCAGGTCGAGAGGTTTGCTCCCAACGCTGTAATGTCGTGGGCGCTTTACCGTGTCCGCGCTGGCCCGCGGCGTAAAGCTGTTTCTTCTCATCCTTACAGGGGTTTGGCTGGCGGGAGGGTTGTTCTGATTCCAGACAAGAGGGTATCGCAAGGAATGAAAAGGGGAACCACAGTTTAAAACCACATCGCACACCAGCACACACCTCCGGCATCCCCACCCGCAGGCACCCCCAAGCTCCTGGCAGCCGGGGCTGCGGCTCAGTGAACCCCGCATCGGTCTGCGCCGGCAGGACCGCTCCGTGCCTTCCCCGGCTGAGCACCCGTGGTGGGAAACGACCTGCTCCGTTGGTTAATCTGGCTCAGAGTCCGCTGAAAAAGCCTACTTTTTTTAGCAGTTTTACTTCCCTTCGGGATTTTTTTTGCTTAGGTGGCTTTGTTTGTTTGGGTTTGGTGTGGGGGTTTTGTGTTTGTTTTGGGTTTTTTACTTTTTTTTTTTAATTTTCTTTTTTTTCCTCGTTTTTTTTACTTTTTTTTTTTTAATTTTCTTTTTTTTCCTCCCTGCAATCAATTTAGGGGGAAACAAAAAATAATAATCAAATAGAAAACTTCCCCTTCTTTGTGTTTCTTCTCCCCCAAAGCAGCCACGTTGCCCAAGTAAAGCAAAGAACAACAGAAACAGCCTCCGACTTCTCTGAGCGGGCAGCAACCATTTCAAGGCAGGCATCGCACAAAGTCACAAAGCGTTAAGTGCCCAACTGGAAACCGCCAGAATGGGACCAGCCACAAGAGTCTTGACGAATATCCTCAGTTTAGCATTTTGCAGTCAGCTGGATTTAGCTCCGCAAACCCTCCTGCCACAGATGCAGGTTCCTAGTTTCTCCACCCCTTGTTCGTGGTCCCTCGGCACAGGGACTCCTTTACTCTGGGACACAAAAATAACCATATCCCAGGCAATCAGCCAACAGCTCTTTATAAAATACAATGACAGGAGGCAGCTAAAAGCCTAAATGTACCAAAAGAACTTAAAATGCAATGCACTTAGATTTGCCGTGAGCTAGGAAAGCGGAGAGTTGGTTTGTGCTCTTTAATTGGGGGAGTTAATTGCAGGCAATCGCTATGCAGCATTCCCTGACAGATCAGTCCCTCTGCAAAACAGCATTTGCAAAAGCTAGCACCTGAAATAGCAGCAACTTCCAGATTTAGCGTGTAGTTATGTGCTTTGCTGAACAAGGTAGACGGCCAGTTATCTAAGTCACGGGAGAGACAGGATTTCATAAATAAAGCTAGTCAGTCTGAAGTGTTTCCACTGCTCCTGTAAGAAGATGCCCAGTGCAAGGAAGGTAAAATTGGACCCATCTCCTTCCGCTCAGATATATACAAAGTTTAGGAACACCATGGTCTTGCCCTGCACCGAATACTTGTAAAAGGCACATGAAATCTGCAGAGACAAGGGAAGAACCTCCACTCATCCCAGCCACTGACACACAGCAGCCAGCCCGGCCCCCGAGGGCTGCAAACGCTGCCGAGAGCCACCAAGAACCAGCCCCAGAGCCCAGCCTTATCCTGTCTGCAGCTTTCAGAAGAGAAAGCTCATCAAGACAATGAGAAAAAGTCACTTCAAACATTTCGGCAAGTCTTTTCGAAATTATCGCAATTAACGCAAATGAGCATCAACAACAAATACTTCAGTGAAAACTGAGAACGAGACCTGGAATTTAAAAATCTACGTCCTAAATTTGCCCATTCTGCTTCCTACAGTAGCTCTGAAAAATATCTCCCCTTGGCCTGGGAAGCACACTAATTCAGCCTACAATTAATTCTGCTTTTGGGGATTATTTCTGAAGCAAGTCTTTCTGGTCACTGAAAGCAACCGGCCATTTCTAGCAGGTATTTAAGAGTGTTTCAGTTTAGGTACTTCTTCTTGAAAAGGGAAAAAGCCAGAGCTGAGCAGCAAGACTTACTGAGTTCAGAGAGGGTTTGTCACGGTGGGTGTTCACTGCTTCCACGTTCAGGGTAATTGTCTCCACTTTACAACCTTTACCAAAAAGAAAGAGAAGTTTATACGAGTTATTTATTAAATAACTTTTTTTTTTTTTAAATATTGAAAACAGCATGGGAAGTGAGCAGGAATAAATTTGTTACTTATTTTTTAAAAATAAAACAGCTCATAAATAAACAGTTCACCCTATTAACAGAATTTTACACTTTAACTACTTTCTGGCTTTGACCTTCACTGCAAAAGTGCAGCCCTGTGTTATGTGGACTACAGGTCTACACAGAAAAGCCATTTTTAACTCACTGCACCCCAGAGCCAAACCCAAGTTTGGAGGCAAGAACAGCCTTCAACAGGTGAAATCCACAATTACCACTCGTTTAGAAGAGAGGCCACGGGAGAACACCCCTGCGCCCACACACCTCCCCTCCCACTGTTCCCCCAAAGCCCTCCCACTCTCCAGAACCTTTTTATATGTTAAAAATATTACCAGAAGCATTTACACAAGTCCGGTTGCTGCCGCACGCGGACACAAACTTGCCCATCAGATTCGTGCACACACACAAACCAAGGCAAAAAAAAAAGACAATATTTACCGTACGCAACAGGCGTGAGCTTGAGGATGGTGTGGAGGGGGCAGCGCAGGTAGGGCAGCTCGTCTAGGACAGAGGCAGGCATTACGGGGGGGGGGACGGCTGCTGGGGCTGCCCACACCAGCCACCCCCCCACCCCCCAGGCTTCGGGTGGGACCCTTCACATAGCAAATACTGGACGCCAACCGCACAAGCGCCTTGTGCCCAAGCAGGCGGTGCCGCAGCCCCCCCGGACCCCTCGACCCCTCTTTCCCAGCCCTGGAGCAGCGGGACGGGACTGGCCCCACCCTTACCAACCAATGCACGGGGCCAGCCAGAGGAAACCCCTCCAGCAGCACACGGGTGGGAAAGCACCGCAGCAACAGCTGCCACGGACCCAAGCGAGTTTTATTTCAAACTTTTAATAAAGTTTTCTTAAACTCCAGTACCACTCACTGGCGTTTAACACAGGAGTTTGCAGCAGACTGGAGCTAGCTTCCAGGCCAGCATGCCGCGCAAGGGATCAGCGTTTCGCTGAGACGTAGCACAACTGCCAACCCTTCACGGGCTACTGATGCATCAGAAAACTTTTTCTTTACGTTAAAAAAAATGTAAAGAATTTTCTTTACATTAAAAAATGTAAATGCATAATCTCCCCTAGAGATTATGCAAATGCTACTGGTGGAAACAGCTCCAGAAACAATGGCTGAGCAGAAAACCACAAGCCCACGTATCTGTATTTCTCGCAAAGAAAGCTTCTTGCTAAGCTCCGTGCACCACTGAAATGCAATGGTTAAAGTGTTTCAGAAATGTTTTCTTTTTTTATTTTTTAAGCAGCTCTTCCGTTGTGAAAAATCAAAACAGTAATTACAAGCCACCCTTCCCAAAGCTCTGTAAAGGAAGCAGCAAGAGAAGCCAGCCCCTAACATCATACATTTATTTTTGTACCTGCACTCTTGTCAAGAAAATAAGCCAACAGGCACCTCATAACCGCCTGGTGGGAGATAACGAGGACGTTGCCTTGCCGTTCTAGCTCCATAATTACCGGCTCCAGGCGCTGGACCAAGTCCTGGTACGACTGAAAAACAAAACAGGAATTCTTCAAGGGGTTTCATAAACAAAGGCTTAAAGCAGAAGTAGCAATTAACACAGCTTCACATTCAGGAAAGTATCAGTTAAAATATCAAAATGCAGAAGTTACGGATGATCCGGTAAACACAGGAAAAAATGCAAACAGCAGAAGGTGAAATTTAATGTCAGCAACCCTCAGATTACAGGAGGATCCAGATTACTGGTAACTCTTAACGAGTGCAGTAAGAAAAATAAATAAAATAGTAAATTATACATTTCAACAAGGTTGTGAAGTAAAACCAGAAATGACTCCATACCACCCCCACAGTCATTTTCTTTCCAAGATGTTTTTTTCATAGTGACAATTCAGGCCTCGGCCAAACGAGCACGATGCAGAAACCCCTCTGTGTCTGAGGGGAGCATCGAGGGACTCGGCAAACGGCCCAATTAATATGACTGAAAGGCATCATTTGCACAGCACAATAAAGGAAATCAATAAACCTTTCCTCTAAAAGAGAATTGGGGACCCTAATGTTTTCAGTTTCTCATACGAACATTGGCATAAGAAGTTAAGTAAAGTCTTTCAATTCTACACATATGTATTTGTTTTATGTATGCTGCATCTTATCGTTACTTCTTAGGGGTCTTCACCTCGCCTCCAGGATAGCGATAAAGATATTTCTCTTGATCCCTCAAGGCAAACTCATCTGGATACTTGGCTTCAATTTCTGCATAGGTCATTTCTTCACATACCCCCTGAGGGAAGAAGAACTCGTTACCACACACTTCGTTTCAACACAGGTACAACAACGCAGAAACAGCAAGCGGCGGCGATCAGCAATCCCCTTATGTGATGCAAATTTTAGGTATCGTAACTGACACAGCCACACACCCCGCATTTGTGCACTGCACGTCCAGGGTGGTTTGCAAAGGACGGGCTTTTGGTTTTATTTCGAAAACCTTGTTTGCCAGAGATGAAAACAAGCGTTCATTTCCACAGCAACAACCCTGCAATTTCTTTTGCCTGAAAGAATTAGAGTGGGAGCAGTAACCTTTGTCCACCCAGGCTGGTGTTACAGCCGGAGTGACAAATACCTGGGATGTTCAGTGTTATTTTCTTTCTCAACACCAGCCAGATACGTTTACAGCAAGGTCTAGCAGCTCCAGGCATTGTCAGCCCTGTACCAAACCATCCTAAACCTCATGATGGAGGCTTGGAGTGTATTATATGTAGACATGGTTATAAACGAACAGGAAATAATCAGGTTTATCGTGGTGAATTTGTTTTTAAACGTTATTTTCCATCTAGAAAAGCTAAAGGCTTCAATCAGCATTTCACTCACAGCATCGATCTCGTTGAGAATCTTCCACTGCTCGTACGTGACCCCTAGAGACTCTGCCGTCTGGATCGTCCTCTTCAGCTGGCTCGTCCACACCTTCAGATCAACAATCTCCTGCTCTTCGATGAACTTCTTCAGCGCCTGAGCAAACTGGAAAAAAAGTCAGGGGAGGTTAGGAGGGAGCAGGAGCTGCTGCCACCGTTAAAAGCATCATTTCAAGGGCTGTGGCTGTCGCGGCAAGATCCAGCTGCGGGGCTGCCCCTCGCAGGAGTCAGATGCAGAGCCCGGCTTCTGACCTTGGTCACACAACACTTTACAAATACAGCAACCCGGGTGCTGGCAAACACATACCTGCTTCCCGCGCGGTGACAGACCAGAATCCCCACCAATCTTGCCAACAAGATTATATTCACTCTCACCATGTCGGCAAAGGTAGATGGTACGCGGCTGGACATGAATGTTCATTAGGTAATAGACGATTTTACTCTGGATGTAATCCTGGACTCTGTTTACTAGGAACCGCTGTCCCACATTGATCACTTTAATGAAGGAAAGATCTCTGGAGTCAACATAAAATAAGAACACCCACACGACTGGTTTTAAAAATGAAGCACGTGCATCTGCGGGTGTAATCTAGCTATTTACCCTCTAGTAAAGGCATCAGCACTACCACTGGGTCGCTCCAGCAGACAGAAGAGACACTGAACTGCCGTGCTTAAACAAGGAGTAGCATTACATTGCAGTACACTAGAGAAAAATCCTTTCAAATCACTTGGGACCCGAGGATATCACCTTCACACGAGCAATTGTGCTTTGGGAGAGCAGAGGCTGCAGCAGACGCGTTGCAGCATCCTGAGCCAGAGAACAGCAGCGACAAAGCAAAGCAGCTCACGTGTGCAAGGACAAAATGCACCCCGGGGCTTTGCTTACTTGTCATACGCATCGGGATCAAGAGGCTGGTAAGTGACCTTGTAGCACTCAATCCTCTTCAGGAAATCATCCATCACGTTCTCCCTGTTTCTCTCCGGGTAGTCGGGGCTGGAAACTTTCACCTCCTGATCAAAAGACAGCGATGCTTTGTGAGAGTTAAGCAAACTCGGCGAGGAGCAAAAGCAACACTGAATAACATTATTCTTCCCTTTTGAAACAAATGAGCATTGTTTAACACTGCCCTGTGGAAAAACCTGCTCCTGGAGAGGAAACAAAGGGCGACTCTGAAGGCGCTGTAGCGCTTGGCCCCGCGACAGACATGGCTGGCTCGCTTTTAGCCGTCCCTGCAAGCCACTCGCTGCCTGCCTTCCCTTGACAAGAAAACATGCTTCAAGGTCAAACGTTTCTCAGCTTCATTTGATTTCCACGTTCTCACATAACTAACTGCATCTCTAGCTTTTATAAACCTGCAAACCTTAGCTGCTTATTTCCAAGGTGAAACGTAAGTTCAAGGCATTTGCAGACATTGCCGTAAGCTATCGTAGCCGGTGACCTTGCACCGAGCACCCCAGCTCCCACGGTAAGCACTGGCAGTTGAGCCTGGAAAATGCAGCACGCACCAGGATATTGGCAGCGATGACTTCTGGATCGTCACAGACAGACTCCACAAAAAACACCTACAAAGAAGGCAAGGAAGCATGTTTCAGAGAGTCAAGATCTCTACCCAGAGCTCCTGCCCCAGGGAGCACTAATGCCCCTCGGTGCAACAACCCCACCTACGAATTAAATACAGAAGCGCTACCTTGAAAGCATTTTCTTTAGCAAAATTTAAGATCAGGTCCCGTCTTTCTCGAGTTGTGTTGGTCGCATCAAACACCTACCAGAAAACAAGTAGCAATAAGCAAGCTTATCTAAGGCTTTTAAACCAGCCCCAAATCATTTGGGATTACAATCAGGTGCCTGAATGACCTGGGCAGCTTTGAACTACCCAGATGTAAAACCACGTTTAGTCCAGAAAAGCCTTACAGCTATTTGCCCGCACTCCTCCAAGAGATAAGCCTTCACATCTTCTAGAGCCACTAAGGCACATCGTCTGCAGGAGAGAAATGGGTATTGTCAGAGCTGATGTAAAGTACTCGGACGGCAAGGCATCTGAACCACCAGGGAGAGGTTTAAATACCTTCTCTCTCTCTCTGCCCATGGGGCACCCACCCCTGCATCTTTCCAAGAGCCCTGGAGGCTCTGCAGATATCATAAGGCATCTCTATCTATAACTTGCTTTGTATTTCATTCATCGCCGGGCATTCGCAGCCCCTGTTCTTTGTGCCAGCCCAAAGACAACGACAAAACTCCCACGCACAGCCCCTCTGGCAGGGTCCCTGCAGGGGCTGCGCTACCTCCTCCCCTGGCTTCAAGGGCATTAAATGTTATTTTGTGCTCCTCAAATGCAGAGGCTGCCAAGACCCGAAACTAACCAAATTGCCGCGGATCGGCTGGGCCCCCTGACGCCAACTTACTTGCGGATTTCCATGGCTTCTTTGTTATCGTGCCTGAAGAAGTCATAGGACTTGTAAGACTTCACTGCTTCCCGGCGATACACTCCTAAATTAAACACTTGACACACAAAAGACGGGCGCGTGAGACTGACAGCATTTCGCAGACAGATCTCACGGCGCTTTCGGTGAAGGGCAGAGCCATCCCTGCACCGGGCCGGCCCCCGCACACACCTTTGGTGGGCACCCCGATCCAGTTGAGGTAGCGGGTGAGCTTCTTGGACACGTAGGTCTTGCCGCGCGCGGGGAGACCGATCATCACGATCAGGGTCGGGGAGTTGGTCATGTAGGAAGCCCATGCTGCAGGAAAAAAAAAACAAAACCACAAAAACGGGAGCATCAGCAGCATGGCAGAGCGGCTAGGAGCAAAGAGCTAGCCGCAACCCAAAGCCATCCCCCACGCAGAGCTGCCCCGTCTCCCGGACGGACACACCGCCACCGTGCATCCCCTAACGGGCCAGGGTCGGGTGGTCATGTAGGAAGCCCATGCTGCAGGAAAAAAAAAAACCACAAACCCACCCAGACGTCCCCCGGACGAACACACCGCCGCCGTGCATCCCCTAACGGGCTCGCTGCTCGCTCTTCTTGGACACGTAGGTCTTGCCGCGCGCGGGGAGACCGATCATCACGATCAGGGTCGGGGAGTTGGTCATGTAGGAAGCCCATGCTGCAGGAAAAAAAAAAACCACAAACCCACAAAAACGGGAGCATCAGCAGCATGGCAGAGCGGCTAGGAGCAAAGAGCTAGCCGCAACCCAAAGCCATCCCCCACGCAGAGCTGCCCCGTCTCCCGGACGGACACACCGCCACCGTGCATCCCCTAACGGGCTCGCTACCGTGTCCTCGCAGCTAATTAACCGCTGCCAGCGGCGGCTGGACCGCTCTGCGGTCTCCCGGGCGTTAGCTAATGAGGCGGAGTAGCAACGGCGCACCCGCTGCGCCTAACGGGTCTAATACAGGTCTGTTAGCGTCAAAAATATTTACCGATGGGGCAGGAGCTGTCAAGGACGCGAGAAAGATGTTTTTAACACAACGGTCACGTTCTCTCAGAAAACAGGCGAAGCAAGCTCAGGAAACGCCCGGGGAGAGGCAGGTTTGGGGGAAAAGCGCGGTATGCGGATG